ACTACATTTATAACTTTTATGCTTATTCTTCAAATAAATTTGCCATAATGTTAACTTTTTATTTTTAGATACTTGAGAAAATTTCCCCCCAAAAATATTTTGATTGTTAATGATTTCAAGTTTAAAAGCTTATACCCCTAAAGCTCACTGAAAATCAATGTTTTTATTCTTAAAAATGACACTCAATGTAACATCAGGGGGTAAAACAATAGGTGCTTAAAGCAGAGAGTAAATGTGGCCGCCTCCAGTTCATCCGTCAGTTGTTTTTTTTTGTTCTGCTGCTTTGTCAAAAAGCAGAATTGACTGAAGTGGTGCGAATCCAACGTGTGAAACTGTAAAGGAACATGTGAACAAAAGTGTGAAACGAATACTGCATACCAGTAAATGCGAGTGTGGACTTTCACCCTGCTATTCTGAATACAGCTGCCTCCACTGGTTTCCTGCCTCCACTGGTTTATTTACACACCTGTCACACATAGAAACACGATGCACAAAAATGATCCTGCAAAAAATGAAACGGTATTGTGGAACTGATGGGTAGATGAATCCTAAATTCTGCTGTTTTTTCTGCTAAATTAGGATTATATACTTAATTACATGAGATGATGCTAAGATCCGACGTATGATGTACTCAGCTCTTAACAAACAGGAGTCCTATGCCTTGTGCTTCTACCTGAAAAATCAATAATTGTGACTCTTAAGCAAGAAGAGATGCTTTTATTAGCATTTGGACTCAGTGAAAGGAAACAGAGCCAACCTCAGTCTGAAGATAAGAGTATCTGCTGGCTGATACGTCTTAAAGATTAGTGAAAAGGGTTACAGTCATCTAAAAATGTTCTGAACATATTGGAAAGAAGAGATGCTTTATTTATTAAAAGCATTAGTATTTTGAAGGTTTGGAGCCAAGTAGTTTGATTTGCTCCTGACTGTTGAAGTGATAGGAAATACCGCTGTTCGATTCAGAAAGCTCTTACGTTTCCAAAAGGAAGATTATAGCAGCTTGTGAGTCGGTTAAAGGACTAAAAGGTCTCATAAGAATGAAAAACGCAAAATAATCAGCCGTGCGACACGGAATCCGAGCAAGTTTGCCACAAAACTGGCTGCAGGTTGTTAAATGCCCAATGATATATGATCAGAGAAACTACAGCGGGTTATTGCCTCTGATTATATTAAAAGTGTCTGCCTCTATGATGATAATAATAAAAAACAGAAGCTGCTTAGCATCAAACAATGCATTATGATGGTCGCTGCTACACTCCTCAAAATCTTGAGACTGGGAAAGAGAATCTTAAGAGTTAAATTCAAAAAGAAAATACAGACACGTGAGAAAAGTAGAGCAGGCTATGTGGTTTCAGCCGTTTTCCCTTGTAACACCGCAGCCCAGTAAACCTGTTTGACAACAGACATCTACAAACACTAGGAGCTCTACCTTCCTGCAGTTTCACCTAGCCTTAATACCATTAAATATTATTATGTTAGTAATGAATCAATAAGTACAAGTGGGTTTTTTCACTTTTTTCTCGCAAGTGATTTTATAACAAGTATAGTTCTTATTTTAAGGATTAATCCAGAGCTGCGACTAACGATGAATTTTTTTGCTTAATGATCAAAGGTTCCTTAAAGAAATTTTTTTTTACCAAATTAAATGTTTCCACTTGAGGAGTTCTGAATTCAACATATTGATGGACGTTAAAGGTTATTTTTATCTTAAATAAAACATTTTTACACAATTTTTTTAAATGTATGATTACTGCTCTAAGTTGGTTGCTCTGTCTGCTAAAAGCATGTTTTACAATCCCTATACTCCATTTAACGTTTCATCAAACACTCAAATATTTGATTGCTTCAATAATTATCAAATATTAAGATTAGATTAAGCTGTCTTAAATACATTTCCTATCATATTACTTTTTGCTTCATACTCCTGTTCCTTCTTTTGCATTTTAAAGCTGAAATCACAACCTGGTTGGGGGTAGTTTGAATTTTTGCGATGGTCTTTAGATTTTAAGCAGAGGGTATATTGTCAAAAGTATTTGCAAACCCAACAAAAACATTAAAAGCAGCTGAACTGAACATTCCAGTGTAAGGAACTGTGAATGCTGGATTAAACCTAAAGAGTTTGGACTTTTTCATGCTCCCAACTTTATAGGAACAGTTTAGGGAGTGCCCCTTCCTTCCTTCTCCTACATCAAGGTGTCAGCCAGGTGCCTAAAGAAAGACAAGGATGAGAGAGTTTAATCTATGATCCAGATCTTCTTGTCCAATCAGTCAAAGATCTCTGCCAAAACGTGCTTCTAAACCTTGTGGACAACCTTCCCAGAAGAGTTGAAGCCGTTAGAGCTGCAAAGGGAGGACTGACACTGCATTAAAACCTATGGAATATGAAACAGAATCAGCTGTTTGAAAAGATCTCTAAGGAAGAAATGTTAGAAAATGATTCCCACTGTTCAGTATGGTGGATGACCCATGATGCAGTGGGGCCTAATTATCTTTAACTGCCATTCAGGGCCTTGTTGTAGCGCTTGGCATCAGGAATTAGGACAATCTGTATAGAAAACTGGTAACATCTACCTGTACCTTTCTCTTTAATAGGGATGCAATGAGTGGATAGTAGACTTTTATCTTTTATCATCATTTTTTTATACACACAAAACAAAATTTCATTTTGTACAGGTTTCAGACAGTGAATGAGCAGCAGCTTGGCAGGGAAAATTCTTTGTCTACCATCTGTCCAAGAAAACCAGTCGTGTTTTTTTTCTCTTTTGGCTTTGTGTATTCGCTGGAGTGTATTACTGTGTTTCTGTCTTTGAGAGCCTGTTTTGTTCCCGAACCAGGAAGTATTAAAAGCGTTGCTCATGAGATGGTTTTAAAAATTTTTATGAAAATAAACCTGTTGGGGTGGCCGGGTAAAAAGTGATAGTTCTGCATGACGTTGAATTTGCATGAATTTGGAGGTGTGGAAACGTCGTTTTTATTAGAAACATGGCTTTCTGCATAAAATCTTAATTTCAGGAGAACTATGGAACTCTAGACTTTTAGTAAATGGCAAAAAAAAAAAAAAACTCTTAATTTGTCAGCATTTTTCTTTCCTCTTAGTTCAGTTTTGCAGCTTCCTGCACACGCTGATTTTTATCACCAGGCAGGAAATTCACCCTCAATGGTTTAATTCGCACCGATTTCTACCTGATTTTGATATTATTTGCCTAAAATACACTTTGTGTGTAGCTTTTTTTTTCTTTTTTTTTTTTTTTTTTTTAGGTTCACAGAGGTCCCCATCCCCCCCCTAACTTTATTGCTGAGCATTTACAACATCTTCACCCCTCTGTTTTCATTCAGGTAGCTGGGGTATAGTTTCCCTGTGAGACAGACACAGAGAGAGACAGTCCTGGACCACACACTCCCAACCCCCTACCCACCCTGCTCCCACAAAGACATGCATAGCAAAAACCGTAAGTTAAGCTCCTCTCCTCTCCTCAGTCCCCCTAAATCCTCCACCCACACACCCGACAGACTTGTGATTAGTTATATTTCCCCCCTCCGACTCTTTCTGGGCCGTTTAAGCTCAAAGATTCTGATCAGATTTGGTTCAAAAGGGATTCATCATTGTGGGCTTTAGTTTGATTTTCATTAGTAAGGTGGCATTCATCAGACGAGCATATTTATGATGGCGGTGGGCATGTTGCTAATTAGAGAAAAGTGCTGAAAGTTGAATTGGAAACAGTTTTCAGGAACGACACAGTTCTGCTCTCTGCTGTGCTACAAAAGCAGCCATCTGGATGGAAATCGGCAATAAATACATTACAATTCTTTCAGTTTTATTTAGTTGTTGCTTGTTAATAAAGAAGAAAAATGTACTCCTAATGTACCTAATAGGTTTGCATGATTGCAGTGCCATGCAAAGGTCGGCATATATGAGATAACTGTGAATACAAACATATGCGTAGGTGTCGAAAGTCCTGCAAATGTATTTGTTCCTGGTTTCTAACTCATACATGCATGTGACGACTCATGTTTCATATGTGACAATACAAGTTTAGAAGTTACACTTTTGCAACTATATAATTACACATTACATATTTAGGTACAGATTAAAAACGTATGTTTGTATGGCTGTACATTCACTCTTGTGAATTTGCGATTTATTCTTGTAAATTCAGAATAATAATTCAACTCAGATTTTTACAAATGAAACACCTGATGTCACGTGTACATATTTGTTCACAACAAGGAACAAATGCAAATCTTGAATTAACATTTATTGGCTTACATTTAAACAAGTAAACACCTACATATATGTTTTAATTGGCAGCCATCTTTCTCCGTATTCATGCCCCTTGAACTTTCTGTCTTTCAATATTTTGCTACATTACAACCGTAATATCTTCTATGGACAAATTCAAAGTAGTACAACATTTTAAAGGAAGTGACGTTAAACAGAGTTTTTATTTTTTGGGAAGGTGACCATCCGAAACATTAGGGATGTCTTTGATTTTACCTCCCTTTACTTTGATACCCCTAATTAAACTTTAGGAGACTTGTTTATCCTCCTGTAATTGTTTTAGGTAGGTCTATTCTAGATGCTGACTCCTTTTGTACATTTGTTTCAGTAAAAGAGTAAGACTCATTTAGGTTGAAGAGAAAGCATCTGTGAACTTATTTTATGTAGTTCCTCAGTTAGACTTTGACTAGGCCATTTAATATGTGGATGTGCCTTAATCTGATCCAGCTCAGTTGCTGTCCTGTTATCCTAATAGTGATCCTATAATGACCTCAGCTGGTCTGTTTTCTTATTAGTTTTATTTTGAGTGTCAGAGTAAAGGGGGTTGATGCAGAATCATTCCACACAATGAGTCAGAATATGTAAGAAGTCAAATGGCTATGAATATTTCTTCCATAGCTCTCCATAATGAGCGTCTGATCAGTGTTTACCTTATATTTTTCATTTCTCTGTACAACTTCATGTTAAATTTTTTTTTTTTTCTCTTCTCGTCGTGTTTTAGAGAAGCGACACAGCTCCCCGATCCCTTCCAGGAGCCCGCTCGTTCCCATGAAGCCCAAAGCGCCTGCCGTGGCCCCCAGCCCAGGGGACACGCTTGCATTCAGGGTCCCCAAAGATTACCCTCACTCCCGCTTCAACAAGGCACCGCTCGCCGTCTACCCACCAAAGGGGGCGCGGAACAAGACCTGGTTTGTGCATGCTTCCTTTCTTTCTTTCTTTCTTTATTTTTTTGTATGATTTTAGTGTGAGTCACTCTGACTTTTTAGAACAGGCACCTTTTGCACCTTCTAAATGACACATTTTCCTGTATTTTAATGCTGGTTCCAACCTCTCCTTTCCCCCTCCCAGCGTATCATTACCTGTCGTCAGCTTGGAGAAGATGCCCTGTCTGAACCGAGCAGACTCAGCATCGCACGTGCGCCTCAACTCCTCCTCCTCTTTATCCTCATCCACGCTCTCTCCGCTAAAATCATCCTCCTTCGCCCCACCAGCCTCCCAGCGCCCCAACGAAAAGCTCGTCAACGGCCGCGCCAGCGGCGGCCCCTCAACACCGCGTTCCATCACGCCTCCCTCCTCCCTGGATAGGCGGCCGAGCCCCGCGCGATCCCCCCTAGAGAGACGGGGGTCGTCAACGCCATCGCCCTCCCCTATGGACAGGAAGCCCTCCCTCTCGCCGTCGCCCTCTCACAGATCCGTTGCTCTGCCAACGTTGTCGTCGCTCTCGCCCATGGAGAAGAAGCAACAAAACGGCACTAAGGCGCCTGCTAGGCCGCACAAGAGAGTCTCAGGTGAGTCAATATGGAGTAAAAATTAGCTTCAACTTTTTAAATAAGTTTAGAAAAATTTGATTACCATTTCTCTTTATCTCTTATTGTAAAATTAGGACAGTGATGCAGCTAATGGTGGTATTTTTAATCTCTCTGATATACTGCTGTAAAAGCTGTTTATCTAAAGAACCCCCCCCAACTACCGTATCTCCACATATTTATCAGCTTATGATTCTGCACCTCCTCCTTGTTTTCTCTGACATTTTAACACTCTGAGGAGTATTTCCTACATTCTTTCCTCTCCTGTCTGCTTGTTTTGCTCTTTATCAGGCTCCTCCGTCTAGTCAGTGTAAACTGTGTGTGTGAGTGAGAGCATGTGAGTTTGTTGATATCTCTGGTTTGCTGCTGCGCAGATCTGACCTGTTGTCCGGTGCAGCAAACACAGAAAGATTACGGGGATTATAAAACAGGCCAGGACAAGATTACAGCCTTCTCGGAGCAACAGTTTAAGATTGGCCAGTTAGTTTGTGCAGAGAAACATAACTTATTTGTAGGCTTCGAAAGCAGATAAGAGCTTTAGGCTGTAAAAGCATTGATGCACATTTGCATCAAAGTCATTCCAAACAAAAAAAATAAATCAGTATTTTATTTGTCCATAATTTGCACGTTTTAAAAAAAAACTTTGCAAACCTAATCATGTTTTTAGCTTTGGTTATGCTTAATGACACAATCCATGTATCTCTGCATCTACATCTCTGTATTCTATTTGAATAGATTGAATTAAACACGTGTGAGATTTATGGAGATGTGTGATACTTTCAGCATTAGCATCTCTCTGAAATTATGCTTTGGAAGCCATTACTCCCTTTTACGCTAAAGTACGATATGTTGACATTGTTCTTGAGAATAACTCCCCTTCTAAAATGAAGCTAAACAGAATTACAGAGGTGTTTTTTTTTTTTACAAAAAGGGTCAAGAGAGGTTTACAAAGTTAGCACCATCTGTGTCGTCTGCATTTTTTACATGTAAAAACATTCATTTTTAATTTTCAGATCACTAAAAATGATGAGTGGAGTTGGATCCAAAAGTTTTGGGCAACTGTTTAAAATTCAACCACACACGCACACAAACATGTTTATCTGCACCCTCACTTTCACAGTACCTGGCTATGTGTGTGTGGTTGGACAGGGCCATAACTCCGCAACGGATTGGTCCATTTGAACGAATTATACGCCAATCAAATTGTTAGAGCAAGTAGAATGTATATAGATTCAGCTGGGAAAGATTGACAGTCGTTTCAGCCAATCAGAGCCAGCCAAAAACAGTCCGTTAGCTTGATCACTCTCCTGGATTGGGGGACTTTAAAGGCTACTTCATGATGCTAAAGACCTGCGGATACGCCCAAAGTGTTTTTATCTTTTGCAATAGAGATTACTCTGAACCAAACACACGTGGATTTACCCATAATACAGTTTTCATGGAGAAGCAGCCAAGGTAAGAGATATCTAACCGCTAGTTTCAGGCTCAGCGGTTTCATCTCTTGCTGTTTAATGGCCTGTATCTCTGCAATGCTTTGGTTTAGAGGAAAGTGAATCACATGACTCGATTCTACCGAGACTCAACTTTCATTTGATGTGTATTTTGTGGTGGGCCGATGCAGGTTTGTGGCTGTGGAGACAGAAGATCTATTGGGCCGTGTATTTACATTTTACATCTCTAATGTCATTTGAGTATAACTTTAGTTGTGTTTTGCACATTTTAAAAAGGTTTGTAGCCTAGATTCTACCTAGATTCTAGATTCCATCTAACGTAGATGATACTTTGCAGTTCTTTGTGATGAATGCATCATTTATCATGCATTATTACAAACAGCCTAAAGTTTCTTTATCACTGGCTTTATGACTGTTGTTGTCGTGTTTGAGCCTTGTTCCAAGTAAGTCATTTTTTTGGACTTTTTCTTGTTCTAACTAGTTTTTTGCACAAGGTAAGCTTTAAAAACTTGAAACCAACGCTATAGATAAGCTCACCTAGCTGACGTGGAGATGCTCTGACATCTTAAATGCATTTTTAATTAGCTTTGTTACTTTGCTGCCAATTATTCACAATATATTTTGGCAGTCATTGACACACAGAAAACAAAGTCAAAGCAGTCAGATTTGTTGAAAGTATAGTTTTTATTCTTTCTTCCTCAATCAGGATCCTGTCAGCCCGCCAAGATGTCCTGTCAGAACAATTAGTCACCGCATGAATCACTTGCTCAGGTTGATTCGTTTGATGCTGAAAGTACACTCAGCTTTCTCACGCAGAATCCTAGCATCTGGCCTCTAGAACTAATTCTGAACGACGGAAACAAACAAGGTTGATAGAGATGATTTGCACGAGTAGGAAAGTACAATCCACCATCATAAAGAGCTGAATTAGCTCAGTCAGAGAGCTGGAGAACTTTCTCTTGCATCTAATGAGATTTGGTATATGAAGGGAGAAATGAAGCAGTGATGCCTTTTTTGTCCTATTTAATGTAATGTGTGTCTGTGTATTTTACAGGGAGAGTCTTTGATCCTGACAAGCACTGCGGAGTGCCCGACCCTGAGACTAAACGTTCCTGCACGCGCTCTCTCACCTGCAAGGTAACACAACCCCACAATCACTCCCCCGTCTTCTTTTACACACCCCTCTCTGGGAAAAGGAAGCAGCTAAGCTCTCCAGCCCTCGTCGCTACGGCTCCTGCGCTTTCCAGCATTACAGGGTCCTCGCTTCTCTTGATGAAGTAATTATAGATGTGAGATGAGGCGACATCATCGTTTAGCTGTAATACTCTAGAACTGCCCTTTAATTACCTCCACCAAGCTTTACTAATCTTTCTCAAACATACTGGTTATTAAGTAATTAAAGAGCCATCATGTTAGTGTCTTTGGGTATTTTTTATTTTTTTTTAAAGAAAGGATTTTATTTTATTATTTTCCAGACATGTTGTTCCTGCCTTGGCTGTAGGGATTTATTTAGAGGATCAGAGTAAAGGGGTTGAACACTAATGTCTTTTTCAGATTTCTTTAGTCCTTAATAAAACGTTTTAAACAAAGTGCTGCTGCCTTATTTCAGATCTACCATAAAATCGGCAATTACAAAGTGATATTGGTATTTAAGGTTATAAAATGTGAATATTTTGTGAGGCTTAAGGATAAGTAGTGATCCAGCGTTGTCACAGATTAGACCTTTGTATGTTTGAGGATGGTGTTCATTTTGAAAAAGGGGAAATGAATGAAATCGCTGCTCCGTTGCAGATCTTTCAGCCTCAATTTGGAGCTTCTTTATAAAAATGAACACTGAATTCTTCGCTTAGCACCTGTTATTTAATTAAATCATAAATACTTTCTTAATACCAAAGGGAAAAATAAATGTTGGAGTAACTCGTTGGTTATTTTGCTGTCACGAGATCTTTTTACCTGAATTATGGTTATGTTTGAATTTATGGTTGTCTCCTCGAGGTTCCTAATGAGTTTTAACAGAGGAAGTATTTTTTAATGAATGAAGCCTTGATTGCAGCCTTTTAAAATTTAGTTTTGTTGTTTTACTTTTTGTTTAGTTGGACTTTATTATGTTTACCAATGATTATTAATATTGAATGATAAGTACATCCTTTAGCCATAACAGTTTGATCAAATGTTTTCCTTAACATCTCCCAGTATTTCAAAAAAGGTACCATGATGCTTTTTGATTTAACATGGCTCCTTCCTTCCTTCCTTCCTTCCTTCCTTCCTTCCTTCCTTCCTTCCTTCCTTCCTTCCTTCCTTCCTTCCTTCTTCTGTCCGTTCGTCCTCTCTCCCTTCCGTCCTTCATTCCTACTTCTCACTTCCTTCATTCCTACTTCTCTCACTTCCTTCCTTCCTTCCTTCCTTCCTTCCTTCCTTCCTTCCTTCCTTCCTTCCTTCCTTCCTTCCTTC